AGCACAATACACGACGCTACTCTCTTGACATTTTTAGAAATACTCATACAATATTTACCATGTATACGAGTATGTATTTTGGTAAGATTTGTATGTATTAAAAGCTTTAATTTGTTTATACGCAAACGGAAACTCGACGTCAAAGCAGCGTGAGCTCAACAGCGGAGATTCATTCATAAGCAGACATACTAACTATATATGGGGTGTTCCATACCAAAATGGACGGGTTCACACTTCATGTGTTTGATTTGTATTAAATTTCTAGGGTTGATGCATAAACGTAAATAATAAATAAATATGAAATTTGAGTTTGATTAATACATTTTTAAAAATTTTGCAGCACAAAAACAAATCAATTTAATAGTTTTTGAAATATCTCAAAAAAAAAAACACATACACACATCAAAATTCTCTATGAAAATATGCCATATCAAAAAGAAAAATTAAAAAAAAAACACAATGAGTATTGCGCAATATTTAAGTATTATGGGGTGCACTATAAAATAGTTTGAGTTATGAATATTTTTTACACCGAAGTTGAGTAAAATGAGTACATTACAAATTTACAAATTTTTCATTTTTTTTTAGATTTTTTTTTAGTATGCGGTTTTGTAGCCCATTAAGTTTTAGTATAATAAAGTGCAAGCTTTAAGCGATTGCAAAACCGGCATTAATTTTGTTTTTTAGTTTCCGTGAGAAAAAAATGCAAAAAGCCGTCAGCATAAAGATTATTAAAAATCAATGCAATTTTGCACTTTAATGGGCTACAAAACTGTGTACTCAAAAAAAATTCTAAAGAAATTAATAAAATTTGTAAATTTGTTATGTACTCATTTTACTCAACTTCGGTGTAAAAAATATTCATAACGTTATGGTATGGAACGCCCCTTATACACCTTTAATTTATACAAGATTTCAGAACAAATTCAGCTTCAGGGAAAATAAAATTATATCGCACAATATTTTTTGCTTATTCTTCCTTTTCATAATAAATAAAGGGCCTATATCTTCCCAACAACCACTAGATTTATACTTCATTCAAGTGTATTCATCTCTTCACAATCCCTCTTGCTTGCACACTTCACTTCCGCCTCTCTGATTTTTTATTTATTTTTTTTTGAATTCTCGCTAAAGTAATTCATAAAACTTTCACGTGCAACAATGCATTACTTCAGCGAACGATTGATATTTGGTGATTTGTGCAGCAGCAGCTGCATGTTAACGAACAACCTTCACTCGGCTATGAGTACGAGTAATGCTCGCAGCGCAGCATTGGTGTCAAGAGCGTATGTGACGTCATCAATTTTTCTATCGTAGAACTGTGAATAAGCACGGAGGCTTGTTTTCAAGTGATGACGTTTAAATAAGTAGTAAACGAATTTTTAAGAGTATTTGTATGAAAACGCGCAAAGAGAGTAATTGTTGTTGTAGGTACATATTTATGTAGAATGAAGAGAGTTACACAATTTGCTCTTTGTTTGAAGCGCTGCCCATTTATTCGCATCTTCATGGTTTTCGAAAAAAATTAACGTAATTGTAATGATATGGTAATCGTTATGGATGCGGCTATGGTTGTGATTAGGGTTATGGTTGTGGTTATGGTTATGGTTATGGTTATGGTTATGCCTATGGCTATAGTTATGTTTATAGCTATGGTTATAGTTATGGTTATGGTTATGGTTATGGCTATGGCTATGGTTTAGGTTATTTACATGGCTGTGGTTATGGTTATGATTATGGCAATAAAAATGGTGATTCTAATCGTAATGGGAATGATATGGCAATGCCAATAGTAATGGTATATTCCAATAACGTAACAGTCGTAATGGTAATGGTAGTATTAATGCTAATGGTAATGGAAATGAAAGCGGTAATGGTAATGGCAATGACAATTATGGTAGTGACGGTTATGGCAAAGTTTATAGTAATGACAATTATAGTAGTTATGGTAATGGTAATAGTAATGGTACTGATATTAAGATTGGTAATGGCACAGGTATTGGTAATGATATTAATAATGTTAATCGTACTGATATTCATAATGGCAACGGCATTGGCAATCGTAATGGTAATGTTAATGTTACTGGTAATGAAAAGGGTAATGCAATTGAGAAGGTAATAATAAAAGTAATGATAGTGGTAATCGTAATGGTACTGGTATTGGTAATGTTAATGGTAATCACATTTATTTGTACTACAAAATAACTGCAACTATCAACTATGGCCTATAGAACCATATAACGCTTTTGGTTTGCATATCTGAAAATTATTAAGCAAAAAAACAAAACAAAACAAAATAAATATGGCAGCACGTCATTGTCCAGAAAACTGCCTCTTTTGCAAAGAAAATTTGCAACGTTACTCTCTGGAAAAGTGCGTAAAATATTTGTCTCACAGTATTTTGCACCACTTGCTCCTTTTCTATACCAAAAACACTATACAATATCGCTCTGTTTGAGCAGCAAGTAAGAGAGATAGAGTAAAATTGCGAGATGTACAACGCATGCAAACAATAAAAGTGCGGGTGTAGACGCTAACGAGGTAGTGAGCGGGGCGAACTTCGCTGCGGACGTTTTAGCCGCAATGAATAAAAGCAAATGTCACAGCACGAAATGGCTCAGTTTCAGTGGAACTGCCGGCGGTAATGCGTGGAAAACGAGAAAAATTATAAAAAAAACAAAGAATACTTAAGATATAAAAAATAAAATTAAAATATATATACATAGAGTTGTACATACCTATATATTGTATTATATGTATAAAGAAACAACAACAAACAAGCATAGAGCTTCAGCGACTAGATAAAATTTCGTTTTTGTTTGCTTGTGACAGTGATAAAACACTGACGAATTGTATTGTATGGACGGGTGGTAGCAATGGAGGCTGCAGCAGCAATGGAAAATAACAAATAAATTGCGAAGAAATTGAAGAATGTTTACGTGTAAATATGTATGTGTACAAATGTGTTTTTGAAAATTCCTTTGCTTACAAATAAAGAGTTAATAAAAAAAATTTAAAAATAAATAATAAAAAAAACAGTACCAGTGACTCGTAGCAGCAGCGACAGCGAACGCGTCAAAAATTGTGCGTCTTATCTACGAAGTTATTGAATATCTCTCAAAACAGAGAAAATATTTTGCGACTAAATTAAGCACATAAAGCGCTGTTAAGTAGTCAAGTGGGTGCGACAGTTAGTGTTGTGACGTCTTAGAAATATAAGCCTAACAAAAAACACAAACAAAAAAGCTTAAAAAAAAAACAAAAAAAAAAAAAACCGAAGCCGAAAGAATTTATTACGTCAGGGAACTGAATTGGAGTGGAAAAAGCCCGCGTGTGTGCGTTTGACATGTGTGTGAGTGTGTGCGCTTAGAAAACAGCCGTCGGCAAGCAAAGTGTAGTGAAGCGCGGTAAAGTATTGAGCGGATTGTCACCTGAGCTGATCTGAGCAGAGCTAATATTCTAAAGGTGGGGAAGTTATTTAAGTTTTCGCTTTCATTTGATTAATGTAAAATATGTAATTTGAAAATATTTAGTAGTGAAAGTAAATAGTTTGGTATGAAATTCTGCTTATTTTTTTATAATCTTTATAAGAAATCAAAGAGAGGAAATATTATATACATGTCGTTTTGCTGTCATAATGCATAAAAGTGCGGCTAGTTTAAGCCTTTCACGATGATATAAAAGGGTTTCTTTGGCAGCGCAGAAATTTCAGTAGAAAATATTTTATAAAAAACTTATATTCCCACTTCTTTTAATCAAAATTTCATTATATACTTGGCTAAACTTTTTCTCATTTTCGCATTCTTTTTGCCTTGCGCTTCTTGCTACTTTAAGCAGCATGTTTCTATGCATAATTGTACCTATATACAATGGGCCAGATTTAAAAGCTTAAAACAATAAACTTATTTAATCTAGATACCTTGGAGTATGCAAATACAAACTCAGAATCCATAAAATCTGAAAAAGCGTTTGTAAGCCTTAATTATGAAAAATTTATTAATAAATTCTAAAACTAAAGATCTAGCTCTTAAATTTGTTTAAACTATAAATTAATCTTAGAAAAAGTACAGTAACAAAATATGTTGATAATTATTTTTTGTGTCAAAACACATTTGAATTAATAAAAATTACATAGCTTAGTAAAGTACACTAGTCCGATTATCGCCAGTGGTAGCCACCGCTATTTAAAACAAAATATAATAAACTATTATATAGCCAAAGATATCTATATTAATAAAACTCGGCGGATAATTAGCGCTTTTTTTAATTAATTGTTACATTTTCAAGAAACATGAACGATACACGGCGTATGAGTAACCTTCCTTTCTGGTCATATCATAGGCACATAATACAAAGGAGAATCTTGGAAACTTCCCAACGGATTTGGACGAGATTTTCTCTAATATATTCTGCCTCGTCATGAGAGTGACCTTTGGTATTTAGAATTTCTATAGGTGTGCCACCTGTCTTAAAATTTATAAGATCCGCACCGTTCGTTGGAACACAAAAAATTTAATGTCAAATGAAATGAATTGGCCTCTAGATAAGCATACTTAAATGTTTTATTTTTTAATAGGTTTTCCATCTGCTAAGAAAATAACTATATTTTATCTTAATAAGCGAATGTATCAGTTCTGCGCCGTCACTGTCACAGTCTTTCCAGACTCAGCCTCTAGATGTGCAATAATGTATTATTTTTTCGCGTGTGATTGGCAACTGTTTAAGAATTATAAGATATTCACCGTTTGTTGGATGTAGAAATTTGCAGACTCCATTCTCCATTTATCAATTTTAGTCATATGATTTTTTTTTTTGATTTAACATAAAACGCACTACTCACGCACTATTTTCAATTAAAATCGTATTTTTATTTCTTTAAATAATATAAATTAAATAAATAAACTGGTACTTTTCGATGTACCACAGATTTTGATACCTTAGATTATAGGCTATACCAAAAAAATATTTTTTTCTGTTTTTTTTTTAACGTTTAAATAGTCAAAAAAGAATTTTGGCCACTTTCTCTTTCTTCTGGCCCACTGTGCAACGCAAGATTTGGTAACTATTTAGTTGACGTTACTAAAATCTCCTTTCGGAGTAATATGTGTCTAACGTTTCTCTTACAGGTCTATTCTGCGCTGGTAATAAAAAGTTTGTAACCGGTAAATAAAGTTCCTGACAATTTTTAAACCCTTTTCGCATTCTGTGTACTCTTGTAACCGGTAAATTTTGTTACCATCTCATAAGCTGGTAACCAAGTATTGCCCCGTGAAATATACAATGCCAGAATTTGCACAATTCTTCATAGCTGAATCGCTGAATATTTTAACTGCATTACCAACGTTCCTTGAATCGCGGTGACAAGAACTGGTAAAATTTTTTGGTAATAAAATTTCCCGGTTACAAAATCTCGGTAACGCGCAGAATAGACCTGTTAGAATAATTGTTCCATGAAAATTTCTTTTTGTACTCTTTTTAACCGACTTCCAAAAAAGGAGGAGGTTATCAGTTCGTCGGAATATTTTTTTTTTTTTATGTATGTTACCGCATAACTTTGGACCACGTCAACCGATTTCGATAATTCTTCGCATCGGAAAGGTAGTGTCTCAGAGGTGGTCCCATACTAATCTGGTTAAGATCCGATCAGCGGATCATGAGATATATATATATATATTTTTTATATGAGAGTTGAAGTCGGTTTTTTTTTTTGCTAAAAATTACTTGTTTACCTAGCTGATGCAGTTTCTGTTTACAATAAGCGCGTATTAGTAAGAAAATAAAGAAGATAAATTCGATATATGACGGTTGCAAAGAACATAAATGCCCGAATATAATCTTTTGTAGTATTTAAAAATTTTTTTAAATACACTTTTATTTGGGTTTATTTCGAAAACTACTTGTCACGCGAATTTTTCCTTCCTAGCGAGTTATTTTATATTTAAATTGAATGGTAATAAGGTAATGAGTTATAAATAATTCTACCTAAATACATACAAGGTTATGATTTCTAAATCTTTATGAAAAAAGTGTTTGTAAAACTTCTTAAACGACCAGTGTTTGGCATGGCGTATACGTGATCAAACCGTCGTATAGGCTTCCTCCACAATGGGGATGAGTGCAGACATTTTTCCATTGTACATTTTCTAATGATTGATGGGATTGATAGAAGTAGTAGTAAAAGAAGGTGATGTAACGAAAAATAAAATTAAAGAAATTTTCATAGTAAGCTTTGAATAGGAAGAGATAAGGATTTAGACAAAGAGCCACTCTAACTGAATAACCAGTTTCACGAAAGCAATTTAAGTGAAAAAGGATTGTATTATTTGCATTTAATATGAAAACTGGAAAAAATCATTTTTCATTTACATAAATTGCTGGTGAAACAGGCACGCACTGTTACGTCCTCATATAAGCTGCGGCCAAAAGTAGGTGCCACCGCTCTAAAAATTCGTTGAAATCTCGTATATGCAGCACACAGTACTTAGGAATGAAGAAATGTGGAAAATGGTAAAAGTCGACCATGCCCTCAGCTCTTGTGGGCGGAAATGGTAAATATTATCTGATTTTGATGAAATTTGGAGTTTATACTGATCTCAACCACAAAAGCATAATTATGAAGGAACAAAAAACTCTTACAAAAATAGGCGCAAATTTAAAAAAATTATATTTTGAAGACACTAGGTGTACCTTGCTGGTTTAAGCCAAAATTTTCCAATTGAAGACCTTCTCACTGTGATGCAGACCTCCCACAAAAACTTTGTTGGCTCCAACTACTAAATTTTATGAATTTTTTGGGAAAAGTAACAAACACATTTATTCTATTTCTAAAGAAAGTCCTATTTCTTATAATTAAAAATGACAAAACAAAAGCGTTTACAATACCTTTATACTACATTATGTGCACAGGATATATTTACAGTGAAACCTTAAATTATACCTATATTTTATACCACAAAAGGTTAGCGAAGGCAGCAGGACTTTTGCCATCGAAAACGGATCTTGTCCAGAGAAGCGCCTAGTTTTGGCTAAATATTGAATCTGATTAATAGATTTTCGCGTTATAAATATCTACATCTTCGGTCATTTCTATTTTATATTGCATATTATATACTTTGTCTACAGATAAAAGTGCTTTCCTTCAGCTCTACAAAAAAATCCAATAAATTTAAGAGCAGAATTCAGCTGAGTTGATTGAACCCTTATATATATGTATATGTATATTCCTTTTTATAATACCAAGTGAAACTGTCGTATGAATTTCAGTAGTTAGGTA